ATAATAAAATATTGATAATAATAATTGTACGGGTAGTATAAATAGAAGGGCAGGGAGAAATAAAAAGTAGGCAGAAATTGGGTTGTTGCTTGGGAAAGGGGACGCTCTCGAACCAGTCCCGTTTCTTTTCTGTTTTCCTTTGTTTTCTGCTATTGTAATTCTCAGACGTTCTCTGAATTTACAGTCAATTTTTGGGGTCTCTATCATTGGTATCAGAGCACCCTTGCTCCTGGAGACAGAGAGACTGAATCGGATCATCACCAGAGCATCAACAAACTAGAATGATGGAGGAATTCTATGTGTCATCGCGAAGGGAGAAGAGTATGAATAATATTGAACGCCATTTGAAGGAAATGAAAACAATGTAGGACAAGAGGCTGGACGAGATGTGTCACCGTGTGCGTCAACATCATCGTCGACACCGATAAGGGAACCCTAGACGTCATCGGCAATCGCAAAAACCAGGCTTGTCGCAATCAGCTTCACAGCGAGCAGAGTTCCCCAGTTTGCGGACTCTGTCCTTATCGGACTCTCTGAGTTCACGAGTTTGGTCGCCAACCGCGTCTCCCAGTTCATCGCTAAGTATGTAGGTTTCTTCTCAGTCACGAGCAACTCCTTCCAGTTCTATGGCTTCATCGTGAGCAGATACTCTCAGTCTGCAGGCGTCTTCATCCACCATCAGTTCTCGTCCAAGTACGACGCGATCGAGAGAAGAAACTCTCAGCTTGCAGTTGCCAACAGCTTCTTCCAGTTCGCCAGCTTCGTCGCTATCAGATTCGCTGAGTTCACAGGTTTCATCAGTCCGGCAGGAGTCTGTGAGTAGGCGGCGACCTCCCTGTGACGAGAGGAGTGCTTCGCCTTTCAGAGAAAATGTAGAGAAGTGCACTAAGGGCGATGATGAAAACAAGGAGAAAGCGTCGGTTATCGTTGAACCTAAAGGTTATTTCACTTCTACTGAAAAGAGTTTTATTATCAATCGATGTTGAGTCTGCCAGTATAAATCCAAAAAATCTACTAGTAGTAATTAATGCTTTTGAGATGAGAAGATTGTGTGGGGTAGCAAACGCCATTGCACTTATTGGACAGGTTTCCATTGATGATAAACTCACTGCATCTATTGGGCTTGACAATATGCATAAACCTGCTATAGCTTTCTGAATGTTACTGGAATTGGTGTAAGTGGTTTGGGAGGCAAATGTCAGATTCATGATGAAACAGGGCATGCAGCTCTTGCACCCTCTACAGCATTATCTGCCTTGAGTCCTTGACTTACAGTCCTTATTTTACGTCTGCTCTGTATGTGAAAAAAAATGTTTGTGAAAACTGTTCTACCGGAAAGGGAGCTCTAATGGTTGGATCGTACAACTCAAAGGAGGTCTCCAATTTAAATGGTTTAGGTAGCCAAATAGGATCAGTGTATGGAAACGTAGTTGTACTTTCTTCCAACCGGTTGACTAAAGCTGACGTGTATCTGATGCTGGTCAATGATCTCTTTCCTGGTCTCTTCAAAGATTTCATAATAGTTGGTGTAGATGTTAGGGGGCTGCTAGAAGTTTGTATACCGGTTCAAGAGGGAGCTGTAGGTTTTGACTACCTGCTACACAGGGCTATTGCTGGTAAAGGGATCAAGATACTCAAGAAAAGAGATGAGGATGGGAAGAATGGCTCTACAGAAACATCTAGTATCAGCAGTCAGTTAAATGAGGATATCAAATTATAAATATTACTGGGCCTCAACACCCTGACCAGGAAATGGGTACATATACTCAAACAAATCCAGCATATCAGAACACTGTTGTGGGAAAAGAAAACGACTCAGGAAGCAATGACAAAGAGGAGAAAGCTTATATCATCAAAGGTGAAGTAGAGGAAGAAAATAGTATCTTGCCAAGTGTTTTTATGCAAATGGGATTCATAGTGTACTGGATCATGATGCTGTTATGAATGCTCACAATGAATAGAAACTAAAGCTAGAGGAGCAAGCCTGACAAGCTGCACAGAGAGCTACAGAAGCATTGCGGCCATCACGATGCTCCGGAGGCAAGAAAGTGTAGCTGGCCCAACCTGGACTGACAGATCTAGAACTGCAGGGGCACCATTATCTGTCAAAAAGAAATTTGGTTCTACCATGAACCCTCTTTTGATAACTACTAGTTCCAAGTCCTCGGGAGTGTCACCATCCAAAAAAAGTAGGCCAAATGGAATTGCTGTTTGGGCATCTGGTGGTCGAGCACTTTCACCGTTTTTTACTGATGCATATTCTGGAGTCATGTGGCCACATATCAGAGACTTAATTTCATCACTCACCAACCTATTGGAGCAAAATGTGCATCTGGTGCTTGTGACACTACAGGGTGCTGTCAGGGCAGTCCGGAACTATTGTCATCCGTGGAGTCCATTCTTTCTCCTAGCATTCTTAATGTGTGGACTTCACCTCACAAACTCTTGTATTGATGCTCTAGAAGTTGTTGAGGCAATGAAAACAGCTCCAAGTTGCATCCAGCCTTTGGTTTCTCGAATTTTATCTTATGTTGGGCAAGTGTTGACTAAACCACAACAGCAGCTTGAAGGTTTAGTAGCTGGTTCACTATATATTCCGACACTGTTGAATTTTTTGGATAAAATGTAAATGTATGTATCCAGAAAAGTAGCAAAATATAATGCATCAAAACTATCTAAACTAGTCTATACTAATTACAAATAGTATCCAACCTTCCCCCACCACCTAGTGAAAGGCAGAGGGGAGAGGAGATTTCAGTAGGTCCAAAAAAAAATAAACTGGCATGGGACTGCTTCCCCGGCTCAGCATCCAAAAAATCCAAGGATAAAGAACTCCAACACAATCCATCTAGAAAAACACAGCTAAAAGCAAGCCTGGGCCCAGGGCAAATTAAGGCATGTCGCCCCTCCTGCACAATTCCACAGCGGTCAAGCCCGCATCCAAGCAGCAGCCCATCTGAAGCCCAATCCACCCAGGGAGTCACGCGAGCAACCCATCCAAGCACACCAGGCCTCTACGGTTACAAAAGTTCCAGCCCAAACCCTAGCCCAGTGCATCCGTACGTTGAGCGCCGTAGCCAAGGGCGGGAATCCAAAAAGAAAGTCAACCAAGAACAGTGCCGAAGTGACCAGGCGTCCAATCAGCATGCAGCGCCGATCCAGCCTGTAACGACGTGCCCCCCACCCCCACCCACCCCCACCCACCCCATCATGGTTCCGGCATCTACCAGACCGTCCGGTGGCCGGGAAATGAGGGTACCGCACCCAACCGGAAGAAACTGTAATCCGTTAGCCCACTCACCGCCCCCACCCCCGTCGAGCCCCGGTGACCCCGGCAGCATAGGTGAGAAGGTAGCTGAATGGCGTCTTAGCAGCAGCTGGAAAAACGAAACCAAGTAACCAACCTCCAAAACTTCCAAAGCTCCGATCATCTTCTCCGATCCATATTTCAATGACATCTCTGAGATCCCAACCCTCAAGGCTATCAAATCGTCCAGCGCGAAGAAACAAGGTTAACAGAGTTCGTCTCAAATTAAAGGCTCTCCTTCCATCCAGGTCGCCGAACAAGAACACCATACCGGAATAAATATTTTCTCGTTTTCAGGTACTGGTCGCCGGTGTCTGCAAACTCCAAATCCCGGTCTTGGCCCAACCCGGGATCCGTAACGAAGCAGTTCAAAGTAAAGGCTGCGTGAGAGAACTGTACCAGGACCTTCCTCCCCTGGTACTGCCAGGGAAGACACCAATACCCGTGGAAGATGGTCACCTGCGAGCCCTCATTTGCAGCGAAGAGGACAAGCAGGGTCCTAAACATTCTGGGAGCTTAAAGAGTCGATGACAAGCGTCTCCATCCACTTATCCACCGACGCTTTGAAGTTCCCCAACCATTCCGGCATCCCGTCCAAAGACCGCAGAGCTACAATCACCGGAGGGTTTTCACCCTGGTTGTGAATGAAAAGGGAAAGGTGAAGGTGGAGCACAACGGTAAGTACCTGAAGCGTAAATCAGCAATCGAGACCACCAGACCCTGTACAGAATCATTAACTAGTAACTCAAGACTTACTTGCCATCCTGTTCTCAGGCCATGGAATTTCAGCCAAGACCACCAAGAACACAGCCATCCAGGTCTTCCATTAGCGCCAGACCACCACAAATCACCATCTCCAGCCACCGTACTTGCCAAACCCTCCAAGCGTGGTCAATCCCTCAAAGCTTTGTCCATGGCTGTTGAAGATGACGGAGGTATCATACTGCCGGATTTCCTTCCTAGCTGCGAACCAGCTGAGTCAGGACCCCAAACAAGCTGCCGAAACAACAGTTTTCCAACTAAGCCATGAAGCCCACCGAAGCCATGACTCCATGAGGGCTCCGGCGGCGGCGACCACCGCGAGTGGCGGCGCCGGAGGGTAGTAGAGCAACCTAGAAAGAATTTTAGTGAGAGAACAGCTCTCAACTCTCACTACACTCACTACACTGTTGTTGAAGGATGTACCAATGGATGACATTAACTCTGTTGGTGAAGTTTCTTTTGATCCTGATACCAGGATAAACCTCCAAATTGAGATGCACGAACTACCGGGATGGAGTGGTAGTCCAAGGGTGAAAGAGGTGACGATGAAAGGTCAAGTAATTAAGCTCATGGCCCAGCAAACGGGGAGGTACTGTGAAGGGGGAGCCACAAGGATGAAGATGATGGTCAGGGTTGTTTCCTATCACCCACCTTGAGGACAAGGTGGTTGTCTAAGGAGGGAGATATGATAGGAACCGGGCTAATGATAATAATAAAATATTGGTAATAATAATTGTACTGGTAGCATAAATAGAAGGGCAGGGAGAAATAAGAAGTAGGCAGAAATTGGGTAGTTGCTTGGGATAGGGGATGCTCTCGAACCATTCCCGTTTCTTTTATGTTTTCCTTTGTTTTCTGCCGTTGTAATTCTCAGATGTTCTACAGTAATACACTGAATTTACAGTCAATTTTTGGAGTCTATCATTTTTACCTGTCGTAACATAGCACGAAGAACATGATCCGACCATATTCATCAGACCAATAGCCATCATTTCTTGGTTCCCGTCAACTTGGTAGTTTTTCAAAGCAGCAAATGTCCTTCCTACTGCAATTCCTTCCGTGAGTGATAAGATACCGGTTACAATGCCAGTCTTGATAACAAGAATCAGATAAGAACCACCAAAGTATAGCATCTTTGATGAAGGTGGATTCAGACCCTTAGGTAGATGACCAATCTGCAGCAGAGTAAATAAATAACATTAGTACCTCATCCTAGAAGTTGTTCGGCTTAACATTTTGGGATTGCTATGGCTCCTAAAAGTGTTGTCGCGTTAAGTGTTTGGTGGAACATTTTTATAAAAGGTCAAAAAAATCCTAACTCGGTGTCTATTTGGTAGGAAAGAGGGGATGGAGAAATGAAGAGGAGATAAAGGAAAATTAGGATTGTCCAAGGCATTTCCATGGAAATCATCATCATCATCATTACCCCAATGCCGCAAAGGCTCCCACCTACGGTGGGGTCGGATGTACGCAGTCTTACCCCGGCACTAAAGGCTAAAGCATAGAAAGACTGCTTCCGGATGACCCATAGTGAAAATTACGTCAAAAATTGCATGGACCGACAACTGCTTCATAACAAAGAAACACATACAGTTTAGTGAATCATTTTGCTTTATTCCATCATATTCCCAAGCCAAAAAATAATGAGTCTTTGGCTCCATTGCGAATGATGGAAAATGTTTGGTTCATGGAAGGAAAAATGGTGGAAAAACATTTCCATGGAAATCATCATCATCATTATCCCAGTGCCGCAAAGGTTCCCACCTACGGTGGGTTAAGGGGGTCGGATGTACGTAGTTTTACCCCTCTACTAAAGCACAGACAGACTGTTTTCGGGTGACCCATGATGAAAATCGCGTCAAAAATTGAATGGACTGACTCACTGACTGCTCCTTCGTAACAAAGAAGCGCAGACAGTTTAGAGAGTCATTTTGCTTTACTCCATCATATTCCCAAGCCAAAAAGTAGTGGGTCTTTGGCTCCATTGCAAATGATGGGGAAAAAACATTTCCATGGAAATATGGTAGAAAATTTGAAACATATTGGGGCCATGTTACGCCCCATGCCAAAATATTTCAGTGCTAAATGAAGGTAATGAAAAACTTACTTCCTCCGTATTCTAAAGTTTGCTACACTTTCCTTTTTGGGATGTATTTAAAAGTTTGCTACACTTTCCCTTTTTGGTAAGTTTTTTCCTTTAAAAATACTCAACTACCCCTTACTTTTTCCACTTTTTATCTTCTCTTTCATACTTTTACACTCTCTCTCCTACTTTTTCTACACTATTCATTACCCCTACTATTTTATCCTAAAACTTTGTGCCCAAACCTAATGTAGAGAACAACTAAATACGGAGGGAGTATTTGACTTGGTTCTAATCTAAAATTAAATGCACATAACATGCTTTTATTTATTTTAGAATTAGTTTTTCTAGATACCAAATGATAGAAATAGGGAAAATCAATCTTATTCAATTAAGGGAATGATACAAGTATTTATAGACTAATGAGTTTAACAAACTTCAACAGACTGATCAGTTGACTCTCGAACTGCTAACCACTTAACCGAGTATTCGGTACAAAGACTAGGCTATTTACAATATTTGGACTTAGTACAATCTTCCTAATATTCCCCCCTCAAAATTAGGGTGATTGATTTGGAAAGTCAATCACACTAAGTTTGGTTTTTAGATCCAAAAATGTAGCTGCAGATAATGGCTTAGTCAGTATGTCAGCAAGCTGATGAGGGGCTGGAATGTGATAGATTTCAAGCTGTTTAGATTGTACTTTTTCCCTGACAAAGAATAGATCTATTTCCATATGTTTGATCCTTGAGTGAAGCACAGGATTGTGTGCAAGATGAACTGTGCTTAGGTTGTCACAATAGATTCTGGGAGTTGAAAATGAAACTTGGAGTTCTTTCAATAGAAACTAGATCCATAGCAGTTCTGCAGCCGTGTCTGCAAGACTCCTGTACTCAGCTTCTGCTGAGGATCTGGCTACACGTACTTGCTTTTTGGACCACCAAGATATGATGTTAGAGCCAAGAAAAATGCAGGACCCAGAGGTAGATCTTCTGTCAGTTGGGTCAGAGGCCCAATCAGCATCACAGAAGGCTAATATAGGTAAGGAAGAGGTGGTTAAGGGTAAAGGTTTGATGAGGATGCCATGTGTTATAGTTCCAGAGAGATATCTTAGTATGTGTTTAACAGCTTTCCAATGATCTTCCAAGGGTGAGGCCATAAACTGACACACCTTGTTAACAGCATAACTAATTTCTGGTCTGGTTAAGGTGGCATATTGTAGTGTTCCAACAATAGATCTGTAGAAAGAAGGGTCTGGCAAAGGATCACTGCCCTGATGAGTGAGTTTGCAGGTGCTGATCATAGGTGTTTTCACACCTTTGGAGTCCATCATGCCCACTTGATTAAGTAGATCTCTCACATATTTGCCTTGAGATAGATGCAGACTACCATCAGGAAGTTTCCTTACTTCTATTCCTAGAAAGAAGTCAATGTCCCCAAGATGTTTAAGAGAAAATGAGGAATTCAGCTTATGAATGAGTTGCTGGATTGCAGCAGAATTGTTTCTGTGAAAACCCTAGTAGTATTGGGCTTAGCCCATTTGTATATCTTGTATAGAAAACCCTAGAACTCTAAATATAGCTATAAATATAGCTTCTTGTATAGCACTTTATTATCAAGAATATGAAATACAACAATACTTGTTCACATGGTATCAGAGCCACTATGGCAATTGTTAGTGTAGTGTTATGATTTTTCTGGCGGCATCATTTCCGGCCAGTATTCCGGCGTGAACAGTAGCGCGACTTTCAATTGAGTGCTTCTGGTAGTGATATCAGCCTACCGCTGTGCTCAAGGCTTCATCGCGACTTACCGCCGGAGGAAGCACCTGCGCCGCATCACCCACGCGCCGCCACACGTCGCTCAAGTCCACACCTACAGTTTCACATCTGTTTGCAGATCTGTATCATTCTGCTTATCTGGTGTTGACACCTCCTACCACCAGCCGTTCCTGAGGTTCCGGCGACCTGCACAACGTAATTTACGCCGCCGCCGCCGAACTCGCGCGCCGCTGCCGAACTCGCGCGCCGCCGCCGAACTCGCACGCTGCCCAGATTGGTCGTCGCCGGTGGCTCGCCGGTGCTCTGGCTGGTCGCTGCTACTCTGGTTGGTCTTCACAGTTCTATGGTTTGCTACTGCTGCTCTCTCTTTGCGATAGTATTTCCTTGCAGCAGTAATATTATTACTCATATTTACTCTTTTACTTAAAAAAAAAAAAAAAATGTCTTCTGGTTTTTCTTCATTTGCTTCAGTTCCTATTATTACAACGGACCGTTTGGTTGGAAGTGCTAATTATCAATCATGGGCCATTTCTGTGGAGATGTGGTTCAAAGGTCAAGGACAAATTGATCACTTGCTCATAGATGCCAATTCAGTCAAGGATAACAAAACGGAATGGGAGAATATGGATGCACTGTTGTGCAATGTTTTGTGGCAATCCATGGACTCCAAACTTCATCCTACATATCAATCATATCGGACGTGTAAACAGATTTGGGAAAAAGCCAAGTCTAATTACACTAATGATATTCAAAGTCTGTTTTCGTTTGGTTCCAAAATTGCCACGCTCAAGCAACAAGAATTGGACATCCAGGATTTTCTAGGCCGGGCTGAGGCTTTACTCTTTGAGTATAACACCATTCAACCTATCACAGAAGATAGAGAGAAACAACTAGAACAACGACAACAACTTGTTATGGTTTTAGCTTTGGCGGGTCTTCGCCCAGAGCTATTATCTATACGTGAACAAATTCTCTCTAGCTCTACTGTTCCAACTATGACAGACGCCTTTTCTCGAATTCTTCGTGCGGCCCCGATATCTGCTGAATTGGGTTCTACTGATTCTACAATTCTTGCATCACAAGGTGTGGGGTCCGACGGAGGAAACAACAAAGGATATCTGCGTCGAAGCCGACCTAAATGTGACTACTGTCATAAGCTTGGTCATACTAAAGATAGATGTTGGAAGCTACACGGGAGACCTTCTAGCTCAGCCACTGTTGCTCAGATTCCGCCATCTCCGGTTGTTCTACCTCCTGACGAATATGCTGCATATCAGAAATTTAAGTCTGCTAATGTGCCTTTATCTACACCTGGTACGTCTACCGCTTGTGTTTCAAACACCACAAGCTCATGGATCATTGACTCAGGTGCTTCAGACCATATTTCTGGTAATCCCCATCTTTTATCCCATATTACCAAGCACCAACACCTTCCTTTAATTACTTTGGCTAATGGCCATCAAACTTCGGCCATGGGTATTGGGCAAGCACTACCACTTTCATCCTTACCACTACATTCAGTCTTATATGTTCCTGATAGCCCCTTTAACCTTGTCTCTGTTAGTAAAATCACGCGTGCTCTTGATTGCTCTATAACCTTTTTTGCTGATTCTGTAACTGTGCAGGACCGTCGTTCGGGGAAGACGATTGGCGTCGGGCATGAATCTCAAGGCTTGTATCATCTTCATCCTGTTGATCCAATCGCTTGTGTCTCTGTTGAACCTGCATTAACATTACATAACCGTTTGGGTCATCCTAGCCTCTCAAAGTTTCGCCGTATGGTTCCAGGTTTCTCAAGCCTTTCGTCTTTAGAGTGTGAGTCATGTCACCTTGGAAAGCAACCTCGTAAATCCTTTCCAAGGCGTGCTAATAAACGGGCTGCGTCCCCTTTTGATTTAGTTCATACAGATGTATGGGGTCCGTATCGAGTCACTTCTACTTTAGGATTTCGCTATTTTGTTATTTTCGTGGACGACTTTTCCCGTTACACATGGTTGTTTTTAATGAAAGAACGTTCTGAATTATTCCATATTTTTCAGACTTTTTGTGCCGAAGTACACACTCAGTTTGGTCATTCTATCAAAGTTTTACGCAGTGATAATGCTAAAGAATTTTTTGCGGCACCCTTTAATCAATTCATGACATCACGAGGTATGCTTCACCAGTCTTCTTGTGTACACACGCCTCAACAAAATGGGGTAGCTGAACGCAAGAACAGACACTTAGTTGATACTGCCCGTACTTTGTTATTACATTCACATACACCACCTCAGTATTGGGCAGACGTTGTACTCACTGCGTGTTATTTAAT